AATTTGCGGGATTTTGGGCGATTTGGGGGGAATTTATGGGATTTGGGGTAATTTTGGAGGGTTTGAGGGTGTTTTGGGGGCGTTTGGAGGGATTTTAGGGGGTGTTCTGGGGAATTTTTGGGTGGATTTCAGGGGGATTTGGGGGATTTTGGGTTTTTTTGGCGGGGTTTGGAGGGGTTTTGGGGGATTTGGGGAGATTTTGGGGGATTCGAGGGGGTTTTGTGGGGATTTTGGGGTGATAATTTTGGGTGATTTCAGGGTAATTTCAGGGTTATTTTGGGGTGATGGTTTTGGGGTTATTTTGGGGTGATTATTTTGGGTGATTTTTGGGTCATTTTGGCTGATTTTGGGGTGATTATTTGGAGCTGATTTTGAGCTGATTTTGGGCTGATTTTGGCAGATTTCAGGGTGATTTTGGGGTGTTTAGTTTGGGGTTATTTTGGGCTGATTTTGGGCTGATTTTGGGCTGATTTTTACAGGTTTTGGGGTGATTTTGGGCTGATTTTGGGTGATTTTCGGGTGATTTCAGGGTTATTTTGGCTGATTTTGGGGTGATTTTTGCCGATTTTGGGGTGATTATTTCAGGATGATTTTTGGGGTGATTTCGGGGTGATTTTGGGGTGATTTCTGCCGATTTTGGGGCAGGTGGGGGACGCGCTGGCCGCCACCCGCCTGAGCCGGGCGCTGCTGGAGCGGGGCGTGCTCCTGGGGGGGTGGTTTGGGGGATTTTGGGGGGATTTCTGCCGATTTTGGGGCAGGTGGGGGACGCGCTGGCTGCCACCCGCCTGAGCCGGGCGCTGCTGGAGCGCGGCATGCTCTTGGGGGGGTGGTTTGGGGGATTTTTATGGTTATTTCAGGGTTATTTTGGCCGATTTTGGGGTGATTTTTTCGGGATAATTTCAGGATAATTTGGTGCCAATTTGGGGCAGGTCGGGGACGCGCTGGCCGCCACCCGCCTGAGCCGGGCGCTGCTGGAGCAGGGCGTGCTCCTGGGGGGGTGGATTTTTATGGTTATTTCAGGGTTATTTTGGCTGGTTTTGGGGTGATTTTTTCGGGCTGATTTTTGGGGTGATTTCTGCCGATTTTGGGCAGGTCGGGGACGCGCTGGCCGCCACCCGCCTGAGCCGGGCGCTGCTGGAGCGCGGCATGTTCGTGCAGGCCATCAACCCCCCCACGGTGCCGCGGGGGGGGGAGCTGCTGCGCATCGCCCCCACCCCCCAGCACAGCCCCGAGATGATGGAGCGGCTGGCGGGTGAGGGGACACGGGGGGACATCGGGACATCGGGACATGGGACACGGGGACAC